ATAGAGTTACCACAGGTTTATACCCATGTGACCGAGAGTGAAATCTAGACTTGCACATCAAAAGTCCATTAGAGCCTTCAAGTTGAAGCAATACATAAATTTTGCTTCATGCATTAGCAGAGTTATATTAAAGAAATGAATTAGGACCATTGCTCAGTTCAGTTATTTTTATGTGTATTGAGGCACCCCCCAAACCTGATTGAGGCCCCCTTGACCTGGAGGCTGTACAAACGCACAGAAAGACCTGGAATTTGCCTCTAAGACCCAATAGTCTCATTAAGTTTGGATTTCCTTGTAATGCATTAAGTCCAGGCTCCCTGTAGCCTCATTCTTATGAGCTGAGCATTTATTCTAGGAAAGACATGTATTCTTCTCTGCTTGGTTTTTTTACTACTCAGGGGTATGGAATGCTGTTCTTTCATAGGATTTTCTAATCAACCCTCCAGGAAGGAAAAAGGGTTTAGAGACACTGTCCTTCCAAGAAAGACCACAACCACAGTTGCACTGATGAGACCACAAGGAAAGATGACAGCCTGAAAAGACAAGTGCTGGCAGGAAGCCAGACCCAGACAGGGCCTGCATAGGCTATGATGGTTCAGTGCCCCTTGAGCAGAGGCTGTAGGAAGCCCTGCTGGGAATCAGATGTGCCCACACCCCCCCCCAAATAGGCTCTTCCTGGGAGCCAAAGATAGGAAAGAACATGATATATAATGTCCTCCATTAGGGTAAAACTCTGCCCCCGGGAACAAAGTTTAGCTTGCCAGAGGAGGTGCAGTTACACCTCTCCTAACCAGCTTTCTGGAATTGTTATTATCTCCTGTACCTTGACTGCCAATTGAACAGATCTTCATGGGTCTTTTGAAATATTTACCTAGCCATGCTGAGTGATGTGGGACCACCATATATGAGGACTTCTTCAGAGCTAGCGATAATCTCCAGAATCTCCCTTTTGGAACAAACTGGCATTGTCAGACTTTTGCAAGGGTTTGACATTCCCTGTTTATCAGCGTTATGTCCCGCAGATCTGTGGCATGGAGCAGCTTGCTCTGGGTTTTACCACTTCCATGGTAGTTGCTATTCTTTGGTCTGTCAGCATCAGCTCCAGATCTTCCCCTTCTCATTCTCCCACAAATGTCATCTCTATGGTGAAGTGCTGCCCCACCCAGCTTCAGAAAGCTTTTAACTTGTTCATTCCAACGTCATGAGCTGTCTGTCTGCCCGGTGAGGACACCATCACAACTGGTGATGATGAGAGGAGGGCTATACCCATTTGGCAGCCTGAGAATTCACAAGGCAGCAAGCACTTGTCGCCACAAATAAACCTTGGAATGTATCTTATTGAGCAAGATTTTAATTGCAGTTGGCATGTGTGAGCCTAGCGCTGGGGATGAGACCATCTGTGACACTGACAGAATGAGACTCCGAATCCTGGTGACTTTAAGGCTGTTTCTGACCTGTTTTAAGATCAGAATTCTTTGGAGGATAGATTCGTCGTTACAAGGGAAGCTGGAAAGCAGTTCAGTCTTTTTCGCAGAACTCTCAGTCAGTTACGGTTACGAATTACAAGTCCTCAGTTACGCTGATAGAAATTAGTTGTAACTGTTGACATAATGGGGTTTCTGCAGGCTTAACATTTTGGAGCCCAAGGCACAATTTGTCCAGAAATAGATCATTTGGGTTTTTTTATGCAGTTTTGTTGTTGTTGTTAATACAAGCATTTATCTTTTTTTTAGCACTATGGGTGCTGCGAGCACCAGACTAAGAAATAGCAATTGCGACTGCAGGTTTACACTGCAGTCAGAGGTGTGACTGAAGCCCCTGGAATTACCCCTACACTAGCTTGATCTAGCTACAGGTGGGACCAAGAGCAGTAAAGATGCAATGGCACAGACTTTAGTAAGTACCTATAGTCTCTGGCTGAAGCCTGTCCCATCATGTTTTCTTTGCAACTGGTACCCAAGCTAGTTAGATCAAAGTTAGCATAGGTCTGCTTACGCCTGTGGCAATCACACCTCTCTGCAGTGTAGACAGACCTGACAGAGTGGATAAGGGCAGAAATGTGACTGCAGAAAGTGAACCCTTTTCTCAACTAATCTGTTCCCTGGGACAGGTTCTGATATCACTTAATACACATACACAGTGCAAATACATCACCTCACTTCAGCACAGTCCCTCCAGAATTACACAGAGCAATCAAAATTATTATAGGTCTAGAAAATATGACCTACAAGGAGGAAAGGTTGGAAGAACTGGGATTTTTTAGTCCAGGGAAAAGAAGACTGAAGGCTGATTCGATTTGATAATGGTCTTCAAGTTCCTGAAGGGTGGTTATAAAGGGGATGGTGATAGACTACTCTCTGTGTCTGTAGGTGACAGGACAAAAAATAATGGCCTTAAATGGCAGCAAAGAAAATTTAGGTTGGATATTAGGAAGGATTTACTGACTATAAGAGTGGTTGAACATTGGAACAGGTTACCTAGGGAGGTTGTGGAATCTCCATCCTTGGAAGTTCTTACAAGCAGATTAGAGAAATACTTATCTAGGTTGGTTCAGGCAGAAGTGATTAAATAAACTGTACTAGAGGACTGCTTGCACCCCTTCCAGCCCTATTCTCTAGGATTTTATCTGAGATCAGACATCAGCTCAGAGATGTTACAAGGCATCTAAGTGCCCAGGGCAGCTGTGAAGCAGAGGCAGTGGTGACTTCCAGCTGATACCATGCTTCTGGCACAGCTGTGTGGCTGCGATGGCACCTGCTATTTTTCTCTTCCCCCTCCTTAAGTCAGCAACCAGGGCCCTGCCTTAGTTATGCTACTGGAGCAGCCTTGTAGTTATATAATCACATTGGTTATTTTAGTGACAAAAAAAGGGTCCAATATGTAATCACATCAGGGATCTATCTGACTTCCATGGGGGACTGTTCATACAAGGGCTATGCAGGTAGGGGTATGAAAGGTGTGGGAGGGAGCAGGATTCTCTTCTGCCTCACCCATCAATAAAATTGTTAACATAGCTCTACCTAGTGAATCTTTATGATCAGTTTGGACTGGCAAGCAAGAAAGAACCCAACGTAGCACAGAGCCCAGGCTGAGTTTGACAGCTGTACATAGCAAAATATTGCTTGAAAAGTGAACAAATCTCCTTTCAAAGCCCGTGAAGGACCTGGAACTTCATGATGCCATTTTAACAGTCACTTCTCAGAGTGAATCTGCCCTCTTAGCAAACATATACATTGCTTCCCTTTCACTCTGATACACTTCTTGCCTTGTATAAATTTAGACCAAGTAAAATACTGGTGACCCTCATCTCAGAAAGCTTCTCTGTTTTCCAGTAGCACCTCCACTGTGTGGAAGACTGTCAATCTGTTTTATCACATGCATCCTGAGATGGCTTCTTTTTCTCCCTCCCTGTCTCTTTTGTGTCACTGCAGAATTCTTGGTGTTGATCTCAGTGTACTTGTTACTGAAAGACATGAATAAATCCTCTTTCTTCATGGCTATTTCTGCTGCTGCAGGTCTCCTATACAGCCTGTTTCAAGTCCCCCCTCCCCTCCCCCTTTTTTGAAAATCTGTCACTTTTATATTTGGTCATTTCCAAGTATCTTTGAATTTAAATAGCCACAGCTAACTTTATCTGGCAGCATGCTGACCTTCACCTGCTTGGGACCTTTGACAATAATGATTTTCTACTTGTGTAACTTTCTTTCCTATACACACTTGCTTGACCCTAACTTCTGGCTGCATCCATGGGACCAACTCGGTTCCAATGGAGAAAAAGGTCTCTAAACCCAGACAAATGCAGGGTAGTATGTATGTTCAGATTCTACTATCTAAGGACATTTACCTCATGTTACTCTCTTCTTGGAGACTTTCTATACACTGTTTCTTGTATTCCAGGCCAGATACAGTAGTCTCACTTCCAAACACTTGCACAGTCATAGCTTTGCTTGTAGCTCTACTCTCATTCTCCTACTTCCCTTCTTGCTGTCTTCTTTCCTTGCAAGGTGAGTCTTTCCCACATTTTTTGGTTATTTCCTATACCTGGAATGCCTTCCCTCTTCTTCCTTTTTTTTTTTTTTGCATTAAACCATCATCCTCTCTCCAAACAAATCACTTATATAACTTTGCCTTACAAGATGTCTGCTAGAGTCACAAAGTGCATGGGTGACTTTTAAATGTGGGCCCAAAGTAAAGACGAATGGTCATGTTTCTAAGGTCTAAGGCAGTACAGCTGTGTGGATAATGGAGTGCTCAGTCTGATAGTTGGCCACACAAATCAGATGTCTTCATTTTAGGTCAATCAAAAAGTTCTGGTATTATTTAACTCACTCTCATGCCTCTTTAAAATGCAAGTCAAATTCAAAATACTATACTTCAAATTCAAAACAAAAATTAAGTTAATTTTGAACATGTTCAGAATAAAACATTCCCCACTTTTCCAAATGTTTTCCTTTTTTTTTTATTCACCAAATTTGACCTGAATTCACAAATAGTTTTGGTTCTCCCCAAAACTACATTTTTTCAATTAATGTAGTAGTTACTGGAAAATTTTTGCCTGGCTCTAACTGGAAGAGCTGTATTTTATTCTCCACTTTGCCAAACTTCACATGAACCTTCATCATATTACTTCACCATTCCAGATCTCTGTAATGATGCTAATCATCCCTCCCCACTACAAGGACTGGGTGGTCATTCTTAATTCATTAATATTTACAAGGCACTTTGGGATCCTCAGCAGGACCGTGTTAAAGAAAAGCAAAGTATTATTACTGTTGCAGTAAACCAGAGCATTAAAGTTTCATACAACTGGTTTAGCTGAAGTTCAGAATATGAGGAATGATGATATGAACAAACAAAAAAAATTGCAATCCATTTGCTCCAACATGGATTGCCCCAACCATACAAAACAAAAAGGGTGAAATATTTCATTTCACAGAGGCAAATTGCTTGAAAAAATAAAAAGTAGCCATGCTATCTGTTAAAAATCTGTTTCCTCTTACCCAGGACATAAATCTCACTGTTGACTACGGCTGTGCTGAAGCGGTATTTGGAGTACTTCATTGGGGTGCGCTCTGTCCATTTGTCTTGGCCTGGGTCATACTGAAACATTCTGTTACTTAATCGATCTGGCTCATCGTCAGGGAGATCCATCTGTATGAAATATGACAGCCATATAATAATACAACATTTGGAGCCCTCTGCACACGCCTGCATGCAATTAATCACAGCAGACAGCTGAGCAGATAAATAACATAAACACATCAATTATAGCTGTGAAGTGATTCATACTCACTACGACTTAACAGCACCCATGACTTGTGGCTGGAAGTACACTGTAGAAGGCAGATGAATAACAGTGCATTTATATTCCATAGCAATGGAGTCAAGGATTTGAGTAATAACAAAACATCTATGGACTGAGCTCTGACAGAACATAGCTCTTTTACAAGGCCTTTGTGAAGCCATACGAATAAAGGGAAAACCTTTTTCAAGACATTTTTTTCTTCTGCTGAAGACTGAATTTCTATTTACTTTCTTACTTGGGCTGCACCATGAGTTTCAATGATGTATGCGGAAGGCTGTTCTAAGAGCTTCACGTGCACAGTACATATGCTGAACTAATATCTGTTAATTTAGTCAGTCCACATACATCCAAGTTGCACAATTGCTAAATATTTCCAATTAATAGTTTTAATGACAACCTCCTAGCTCCCAACTAGACAGAACAGGTTATTTGGATAAATGTGATATCTTTTATTATACCAACTAAATAGTTGGAAAAAAATTGTTCTTTGCAAGCTTTTGGATACAAACGCCCTTCTTCAGGCACTAGCTCCCAACTACATTTTTGCACCTTTAATGACATCTCTAGTCACTCCTACTTGCCTGATTTTCCTAATCTTCCCTTTTTCCTCTTTCTCTGATAAAACATAGGCACTCCAGCTCTGATTATGTTTCCTGAGTGTGGCACCTTTAAATAGAAGCTGTCTGCTTTGGGGGAAGACTGATAAATTTCAGAATGAAAGGTGAGCAAGAAAGAGAGGTGGAGGGATTGCTACTGCATACTCACAAAGTTGTTATAGTCCTTTCTTTGCTTGTTGTTTTCCTTAGTATAGAGCAGTGGTTCTCAACTTCAAGGCAACCCTTGGAAAATGCCAGCTTGTAGCTTTCACTCATTTTTTGACTATGGAAAAATAATAGAGCCATTCTTCTGCTGCAAAGAACTCAGAAAGACCACAACTGGTCTTTGTTTTTGACACTGTGGATTTCCACTTGAAATGTGTAGGTTTTTGCACAGTGCTAACACTACGTGGCACCCCATGGCATCCTTAAAAGGATCTCAAGGCATCATAGGGCACTGCAACACCCTGGTTAAGAATCACTGGTACAGGTATCTTGAGGCTAAGGCGATAAGTGAGAATTAAGAATCCAGATAATGGAAGTCATCTATACTGACACTTTTTTATACTTTGCTCTTTCTGCATGGAAAACTTTTCACTCCACTTCACGCCTCCTTCCAGCCTACCTCCCGGGGGGGGGGGTCCTCATCAGCCTAATTCCAAACCTCCCCCATTGACCTCTCCCCTTCTTATTAATAACAACCCCAAGCTTCCTTGGTCTAATTCACTCTCATTGTGCTGCTCCAGTTTATAACTCCACTGATGTCAGGGGAACATTATATCAATGCAGGCATGAAGTAATGCAGTAGTGAGTCAAACCCTTCTTCTCCTGCACTGTTATTTTACATCTTGTCTTGAGTTTGTCTTTTCTTGTTTCAGTGATAAGGTCCCAGTGGGAAGGGAATGTCACGTCATCTACGTTCTATGAACTGGCATATAGATTTATGTCACTATATCAATATTATACTATTAGTTCTGTTTATTACAATGGGGTGCTTGGTGCTGCATAAATATAAGGACAGCTCCAGAGCTGACCTGTGGAATATGTTCTATATTGTGCCTGAGACAGCACTGTAGCCTCATACACAACCTGAGAGGTAAATCCTAGTATATCTGGCACCATCCAATCTCTGTAGTGTTGGTCTTAACATCCTTATTTCTGTGCTGAGGCTAACGTCGAACTGTATAAGTAGGTTCTTACTTTCCACAGCAATAGCTTCTTTTCAATTGATGCTAATGCACTCACTATCGTATGTATCATCACATGCCCCCATGAGTTGTCACAGCCAAGTTAGTTGGGAGGTGTCTATTCCCATGTGTCTCACAGGAGCCTTTATTTTTGCCACTTTTGCCTCAATATCCATTGCAAGAGCTTTTCAGCTACTTTTCCTCTTTTCAGTCTCTGCTGGGGAGATGGCTAAATAAAACTGGGTGTCTCACTTAGAGTCTTTGTTATACAAAAATCCTCCCCACTCTAGCATTTTACAACCAGATTGTTTCCATATTGAGGATATTCTCAAATTTTACTACTTTAAATAAAGAGAAGGTGTCTTTGTTTGGTTGTTTCTCTGTCGCAGCTATTCTCTGATTATTCTCTGGTCTCTTTGGGGACTTCTGTGCTCAGAATATTTTAAGAGATGCAAATCATGTTTGCTGCACACAATTTGGTCTTAAATACTTTTAAGATTTATTTCTTCAAAGGCATCCTAAACCAAGGAGATGTGACACTATTTTTAATGTCCTTCAGTCAATAATATGAATTACAAACGTCCCAAAAACAGTATTAGCAAAATTTTCAAGCCAGAGAAAGTCTCAACTTGACTTTCTAAAATTAAACTGTACTGAGCAACAACAACAAAAGAAGTACCACGTTAAGGAAGGACGTTCACACTGGGGAATTAGAAAGGGGGAATGCTACTTTGGAAAGCAATCCATTTTGCTGCTATTGTTCTCTTTGTGCTGTTACTAAAGATACTTATGGTAGGGCTGAATGAAAATGTTACATCAAAACATGTTATTGGAAAATTCAGTTTGCATCAGAGCTATTTTGTAAAGTTATTTTTTCCATACAACATTTTAATTTTTCATCAAAATCCAAAGCATCCAAAACCAGGAACAATTTCCTGAGAAACAGAGCTGAGCTCTGCAACTTCTTGAACTTCAGATTTACCAGAGTTCACAAGGTTGCATCTTGGGCTCCAATAGGGACCTGTGTCTTATTTTAACACAACAATTTTCTAATAATTAGAAGAGGCAAAGATGAAAAAATTACCAATTACTGGGAAGGATGAGACAAATTCATTTTCTATAGTATGTGATGAGGTAAAAGTGCCAGGCAAGCACCAAATATCGTCATTGTTTATTTTTAATTAACATTTTGCTAGTTTAAGGACTGAGCAAGGACTTCAAGGTGATCCCAATGACTATATAAAAATGGAAAGTGAGTGAAATCATGCCGACAGCTGCATTTTAAAGTGTGCCTCAATGTGAAGTTTTTCAGACAACTGCCTTTTATGGACTATGGCAAATGCATCAAACTTTATATAGTAAGGACATTATTTCTTCAGGGCTGTTTGATTCTCATATTAAAGAGATGAGAGGACAGAGTGCCATTTTTTGGCACTTATCCCTCACGTATGAGGGTGTTTCAAAAAGCAATGGCTTTGTGTGTACAACAGTCATTTACTGAACTATGTCACTTCTCGAAGTAGTCGTAAATGCTGGGTGTTCAATGACAGTGCATCGGTATTCCTCGCTGGTATGTAGTGTCCCACTCCATTGCACAGACAATGGTTTTATTTCAAAACTGCCATTACTTTCTGAGACTCCCATTGTATTTTAACCATGCAAGAAGCACCATAATGTTATACTGCACAAAAACTAAGCCCAGTCTTGCTAGTTAGTTCATACATAATATTTCTTTACCTGGGGTGTCCAGCCTCCCATCACGTAGAGTTTATTTTTCACTGTCACCACAGCGTGGCAAGCCAGTTGCAATGAAAGAGGTGCTACACTTCTCCAGCTCCCTTGCTCCATGGAGTATTTCTCAACACAGTTGGTGACCAGATACTGGTTTTTCAGTTTGGCTTGGCCTCCTATGATATAGAGGTCATTATGGATGGTGCCCAATGCATAGAGTTCACGAAACTGAGCAGTGCACAAATTTTCCCAAGACTGGTTTCCCCGATGGTGATACCTGTAGCAAAACCCCAGATTAGAAACACTGCAGCTCACAAAGGTCATAGCAACTTCTTTTTTAAATCAGACTCCTCCAGCTTCATTGTTTCCTTAGATGATTTTACAATGGGAAGAACATTTTTTCTTTCTTTTTAACAGAGAAGAAAATTTCTAGCCTTGAATTCAGTGCATTTATTTACATGTATAGAAGTCACTCACAGATTGATATGAGTCTTAGAACAGGGTTTAATATGGGTTTAAGGCTTTAAGTATAGGCACAGGGTTGGAAAATGATGAACCTCATTAGGATGTCCTTACATTTGTACGTGCTGAATTCCACTGAAGTCAGTGGCAACCACAAATACTCGGCCCCTGTAAAATTTTTGGCTGCTTTGATTTAGGTGCTTAAATATGTATTTGGAAGCTTACATTTAGATACTCACATTTGGCATTGCTGGCTTCAGTTTTTACTCAGTCTTTAATATGGAAAATTTTCCACTCTAATTTATGTCAGTTTGTCTGAGTAAGAACTGGGTAAAAACAGAGTGAGGCTCTCTGAGATATTTATCATCATCATTATCCGCATCATATCTTACCTCCTCAGAGTTATCTGCACAGGACTGTTAATGATAGGCATAGATTCATGTGTGACCAAATCCCTAAATCATTCCCACAGCTCAAGCATCAGCACCATTAGTAAATAATTGACCTGCAGGAATGAACTAGGAAAGAAAATACTAGCAGACCACCAATGCTTTGGGTCAGGGGAAGGTGAGGCTTACATAAATGCATGTAAGGCCCAATCTACCTCATCTTCAACACACAAAGATTGAATCTTAATGAATGGGATTTCCCTTGTGAGTAAGGTGTCAGGATTTTCTCCTATATATGGGAGAGGCTTCATCATTTCATGGAGACAGGAGTACTGTCCTTTCTGACAAACTGATTTGGATCACTGAAATCTCTGTACGAGCATATGGGGAAAGAAAGCTTTTTCCAGTAGCCTTTCTGCTCCCAGAAGCATGATTTAGGGTCAAACTTTATAGATAATTATCCATTTAAAGGATACACACCTATAAATTTCAATGTTCCTGGTCTTTTGTCTAGACATTTTGGCAGCACTCGCCTCCCCCGCCACGATAATATCGTTGTTCTCAGTGACAACACCAGTGCACACACATCCCAAACCCTCCCCATACTTTGGAGAGGAAATGAAATAAGTCTTTTTTGTGGCAGGAGCATAACAAAAACTGGCATCTGCATAGCTGCCGTGTCTTGATCTAATACCCAAGGAATTATTGCCGATGCAAAGTAAAAGGCTGGTGGTCTCCATGCCGTAGCGAAGACTGAAAGAGGGTTGATTGGCTTTCTTGATGGTTTCCAATGCCTTCTCAATCATAGTATGACATTCAGAATTACAAAGTAGCACTGTGTTCCTTTTCCGAGCTTCCACTAGGAAGGAAGGGCTTACAAGTACCAGCCTCACCTGCTTCAGGAGCTCAATAAGGTGTTCTGAACGTGATTTTCGGCTGTGGTTCACCCATCTGAGGACCAAATCCAAGATGTTTTCCTCACGGGATACATTCAGGTCATCTGATCTTATGAGACTCAACAACTGCTGTGCTTCAATCTCTAAAATTTCTTCTTGCAGGCTCACCTCAGCAAAATGCCGGTACAAGTATCGCCTAGCTTGATCAGATAAGTCTTCTGCCCCAATATGCTTTGCAAAATAGTAGATCCCAACGCAGTTGGAAGAATCCATATGGTCCATCATGTATTTTTCACATGTACTGAAAATGTCTTCCATCTGCAGAAAGTATGCTGCAACAGCAACATTTTGCACATTCAGATGAGTGAGGTGCAAATCCGCACTGTACATGTAGTTGAGTATTATGGACACGCTCTCTGCTGAGATGTCATAAAGCACTACCTCTCTTTGGGTGCACTCAAGTAAGCCACAGGTAAACATGGCTTTGAAATAGGGACTAAAAGCTGCCAGTATCAGCTTATGGCAAGGAAACTTCTCACCTTCTGCTACCAGGACTACGTCTATCATTTGTGTTAATTCTTTCATGCCATTTATTTGATCCAATAAAGTCAAGCTATGCAGCTGTCTTCTTTTCAGATCAGTCTTATAATCCATGATAAAACTCAAAACTTTTCTGTTTCGAATCTCCTCTGGGTCCTGTTTGATTTTTAGAAGGACTACTTGTGTGTCATTTGGTCTTCTTTCACCATACCTATTTCTGGGGTGGAAAAACATAACATGTTCCTATAAGCACAAATCTCTGACAACTGAATTTTACTGTTAAATCCTAATAATAGTAAATGCTCTTAGAGGACAGTTACAAAACAGTAATATACACACTAGAATGTGCATAATCATTTCATTTTCCACCTAAACTTAATTCTGAGGACTATATTTTTTCACTCTAGTATTTGATGCCCAAACACATGAAATACTATTTTTAATTTGCATCTGGAATTGATACATCTTTTAATATTCTGACTGGTTGCCTGAGTTTAACAGAAAATTCTCATTGCATTACAGAAATGTTCAAATGCTGTAATGAATACTACCAAATATTCATAGTGTTAGTTAGTGAGATCTGATATTAAAGATTAAGTCCCAACTGGTACTAAAATTGCTGGGTTCAGAAGGCCTTAATTAACCAAAGCTTCTATTGATGTCACATGCTAACATGAACCTTCCTGCTTGCCAAAAATCAGATCCATTTGATTCTGCCTGGTTCAGAAATTATTTATTGAAATAGATGCTTATCACAGAAGCCAGTTCTGCTGGCTTTTGCCAGATTAAAAAATCTCATGTATTTTATTGGCCTTCCCTCTGTTACAAATAGACTTGGCACCGGAGAGTATTCGACCTAAAAGAATTCTGCAGATCTAATTTGCTGTCCACCATTTGTGCTGCCTGTCTTCTGCATTTATCTCTGCCTAGACATGGAAAATCAGCTGGTCAGTGTTGCTTTTGTTTATGGTCAGTAAATAATCACTCTCACTGCCAGATTTTCGTATGCTAGCTAGCCCAAGGTTGCAGGTTTTGGGTGACATACTGTAACCCAAGGCAGGGTTCTCACATGGAATTCATGTAGGACAGAGCCGGTTTCACAATCTTTTACCAGCCTTTAATTTTAGGTCTGAAAAGCGCAAAGGGAAAAATATATTTTCAAGAACTCCATTTTAATTTTTGTCTTTTGCTCTGTTTTTCTCTCTTTTCCTCTCCAATATAAAAAGACCCTGCTTTACCACTTAATAGAAAGGGGCTGATTTCAGTGGAAGTACATTGGCAAATAAATGGAACAACACTATAGCAATTCAGGCCCTGATTCTCCAAGTCAAAAGCCATTTCAAATGATCTTCTGGCTTCAGTTTTTTCCCCCTCTTTCTTTTAGTCAAAGAAGCCCCAAAACCTCCATTTCAAAGTGTGCTTCTGTATCTGCCTCTCTCTTTTCTCAGAGCCTGATCCAAATCTTATTGAAGTCAACAGTAGGATTCTCATTAACTTTAATAGGCCTTGGGTCAGGCACTCAGATATTCAAGCTTCAACTCACGTGCACACCTACAAAAAAACGGTCTACTGCTTGGATGCTGAATGTCACCTTATGGTTTCGTCAGTTCGCCAAGAGCAGACAGCTGGAACGTTTCAAAATCAGCTAGTCAGTCAGTGGCACGTTTCAGTGCTCGCTGTTCCCTACAGACTTTGCCAGGAGTTTGAGGTAAGTGAGCTCTGCAGGACGGGAACCCAGGGGGCTCACAAATCTGGTAACCCTGGGTTCATTCTCCATTGCATTTCACTTGGTATAGAGTCTACACTGTGGACCTTTCTACCTGTGCAATGCAGGTGCAAGACATCACCACCAAAGGGAGGGCATGAAGAATCTGATTCATTAGCTTTGTGCACCCATTTTGCACAGAGGAACGCAACTAGGAACACAAGACAGTAGAAATTCAAGTTCTGCTCAAGCCTGTATAAAGGGCCTTTCTCCACAACATGCTGATTCTCTGCTCAGGCAGGGATCACTCCTCTCTGGTCAGAGGAGTCATACAAGGCTGTTGCTATGAGCAGACACTTGGGGTGCTGCTTATTCACTTGCCTCCACACCACATGCTTCAGCTCAGCTCTCAGCTTGCAGAATAGTCCTAAGGAAAACATCTCTGAGCTTCTGTGCTCCTGTTAGCAGGAGAGTGTCTCTTCCCAGACACAGTGGTAAACTTCTCTCTGTCTCTCCCACTGCTGCTGCCCTTTTCTCTAGGCTTTAAACGGTAAGGGCAGCAAACAGAGAAATACTGCTGTGAGTAGAATGACCACTGTTTCAAAAGACAAAGGTGGGACATATGCCTGCCTTCCCCCACCCCTGTGCATCCGCCATGGCCAGAGCAGAGCCAAGTGGGGCGAGGTGGGGGCTGCCTGCTGCAGGCTTGGGGCTCCCTGCCCTGATGCTTTTCCCCTGGGAGTCTTGCACTGGACATGCACCCTCTGCCCACCCAGCAGCAGCTGGGGATACAACTCCATACTGCCACCATCCCTGCTGCTGCTCCCCCTGGATAAGCTGTCCATGGCTCCATCTCACTCCATGTCCCAGCCCCATGCACCTCCCTGGGTGGGCACCACCCCCAGCCCCAGCTGCATTCCCTCCCACACTGTGGGGGCCTCAGTCTGCCCCCCCAGTCCCCCATACTCTCTCCCCCCTATAAACTTACTTGAAGAGAGCTGCTCTGCACACTGCCTGGCTCTTTCCCAGCCATGTGCATGTGTGTGGGTGTGCACATGCACGTGGTGCCCCCTGCATCCTGCTTCCCTGGAGCCCCGAGCAGCCTCTTGCAAGCTGGAATGCTGCCAGATTGCAAGGGGAAATCCACCATTTCCTGCGGACCCCTACATGATGCTGCAAATCTGGGACAAATGCTATCCCAGACTCATGCAGCCCAGGATCAGGACTTGAGGTTCCCTAACCCTAACCCCCCCATATTACTATTAGTTCAAACAAGTAGGCTCTGGTAGTCTGGCTGGGAGAGAACTGGATCTAAACACTAAGCTGGACTCCCCACTCTTGTGAAGCCACGTAATGCCATCCACCAGTTTCAGTGGAGTTACTACTAGTTGGCACCAGGGTAAGTGAATGGTGAGTCCAGGCCTGGCTTCCAAACTGTGCTACAGCCTTTCAGGAGGCTCTGACAGGGTTCAGTGACATGGTTTAACAAAATTTGGAGTCATCTCTGTTAGCCCTAAGTGGTAGTTTAACTGCAGTTTAAATATTCAGAGATTCACAGAAGTTTAGGGCAGCCTACTGAAGCTTTGTGTGATGTGCTTTTAGCCTCCCCATAATGCTCCCCCATTTCAGCTACCCTTGTTTTTAAAGTCACCCAAGTATAAAATGGGTCTGAGCTGCACGGGGTTCACAAGTACTCCTGTGCCAATGCCCACCTATCGGCCACTTTTAGGCTTATCGGTATTCTAACACAACTCCTGCTTGCAGAGCAACAGTCCTGTTACAGCATGGAGCGGGGGAATCATGTTACAGGCTAGATGATATGGAGACAGGCCCTAATGTCAGGCTGGAAGCTAGATGTAAACACAGCAGACAGAATGTGACTGTTCAGATGAGTATCACTACACAGGGAAGTTAAGAGGAGGTTAGACAACACCTTGTTGAGGTGGCTTAAACAGGGATGATCCTGCCTTGAGCAAGGGGTGGAATTAAGTGACCTCCTGAGGTCCCTTCCAGACCTATTTTTCTATGATTCTATAAGTGTTTGTAGGATCAGGGCCTTCGACTATCAGAGTGAAAGGGTGTCTTTCTCAAGCTCAGAAGTTGTTGTGAGCAACTCTCTGAAGCCTTAACAACAGAACTAAGGGAGAAATTTCACTGGACTAAGGGGAAAATCATAATAGATAAGGTTCAGAATGGGCATGGTGGGAATGACCACCTTCCTACTGTTGATGGTGAACTGGTGCACGATCAGTTAGAAAAGTTAGACGTTTATAAGTCAGCAGGACCAGATGAACTTCATCTGAGAGTGCTGAAGGAGCTAGCCAAAGTCATTGCAGGACCTCTGGTGAAACTCTTCCAAAACTGGTGGCCACCTATAAGTTTATCAGGGGTGCTCATCAGGATCTGGGGGAACGTCTGTTCACAAGAGCGCCCCAAGGGATGACAAGATCGAATGGTCACAAACTCCGCTGCGACCGATTCAGGCTGGACATAAGAAAGAACTTCTTCACTGTCTGAGCCCCCAAGGTCTGGAATAGACTGCTGCTGGAGGTGGTTCAAGCACCCACTTTGAACACCTTCAAGAAACATTTGGATGCTTATCTTGCTGGGATCCTATGATCCCTGCTGACTTCCTGCCCCTGGGGCAGGGGGCTGGACTCAATGATCCTCCAGGGTCCCTTCCAGCCCAAATGTCTATGAAAGTCTATGAAAGTCTATGAAAGAGGAGACCCTGTAGGCTCAGCTGGGCCGAGGGCCAATGAGATGCCCATCTTCAAGAAGGGGAGGAGAGAGGACCTGGCCAACTATAGCCCAATTAGCCTAACGTCTATCCCAGGGAAAATCCTGGTATAATTCATCAAGGAGTCTGTGTGTGCTATGCTTGCATAAGGTAGGATTCTGAACAACAGCCAGCATGGCTTTGTCACAGGCAGGTCTTGCCTTTCGAACCTCATCTTCTACGACCAGATAAATCCCCACCTGGATAAGAGAGAGGAAGTCAACATTGTATACCTAGACTTCCAAAAGGCCTTTGATCTGGTATCCCATGATGTTCTCATGGGAAAATTGGAGGATTGCAGGCTTAACTGCTCAACAGTCAGGTGGGTAGGAAGCTGGTTGTCGGATAGGACCCAGAGACTTCTAATGAACAGATCTGTGTCGTCTTGGTGAGAAGTGGCAGTGGTGTCCCTCAGGGGTCCATGCTTGATCCAATGCATTTCAACATCTTTATCAATGATTTGGATGTGGGGGTGAAGAGCTCACTGGCCAAGTTTGCGGATGACAGCAAGTTATGTAGGAGTGTGGTCACATTTGAAAATAGATGGCAGACAGAAGTGGACCTAGACAGGCTGGAAAGTTGGGCGGATCAGAACCAGATGAAGTTCAACATTGAAAAGTGTAATGTGCTCCATCTGGGGGTTGAACAATCCCCAACATACTTACAGTCTCGGTGGTGCCAAACTGACTAGTGCCATGACTCAAAGGGACCTAGGGGTAATAATAGACCACAGTATGAACGTGAGCCGTCAGTGCGATGATGTAGCCAGCAGGGCAAACAATACTCTGGCATGCATTAACCGATGCATCTCAAGCAAAGCCACAAAAGTGATTCTTCCACTTTACTCAGCAACTGGTGAGACCGCAGCTAGAGTAGTGTGTCCATTTCTGGGCGCTGCACTTCAACAAGGATGTGGAAAAGCTTGAGAGAGTCCAGAGAAGAGCCACCCGTATGATGAAAGACTTGCAAGGCAAGCCATACAAGGAAAGGCTGAGGGACCTGGGTCTCTTCAGCCTAAAAAAGAGAAGGCTGAGACGGGACCTGGTAGCAGCTTACCGCTACATCAGGGGAATGCATCAAGGGCTCAGTGAACAACTGTTCACCAGGGCACCCTTGGGGAAAACCAGCAGAAATGGTCACAAACTCCTGGAAGTTCATTTCAGGCTTAACACTAGGAAAAACCCCAGTTGTCTTTCCTAATTGGTGCAGGGATCTGGACCCAATAATCTTGCGAGGTCCCTTCCTGCCCCTTACAATCTATGAATCTATGAATCTACAATCTATGAATCTATAAGCAGGGCTCTTGGCTCATTTTCATTAACAAAATATACACAGACAAGGAAAAAAAAAGCAATTGAAGATTTTAAACAAAAACAACAAAGCCTATAAGGGGATCCTCCCAGAAGAGTTTAGTTCTCTCGAAAGGCTTAAACAGTTTGGATGTTTAGAAAGATTAATAATTATCTCCCATGTGTGGAATGATATTGCAGCTACAGAACCAGCCTTAGGACTGTGCTTACAGCTGTTAAGATGTTTGCATAACTAGTCATCATGCTGCTTAGAAAGATGGGTGGCTTCCTTGTACTGAAACTTACAGTCAAATTCAGGCACATTTTAAGTGGAATATTTCCCTGACTTTGTCATTTTTCCTCCCCATTTTTCCAAATCATAAACTCAGTATAGCAAATTTAAGCAGTGAATCTGGATTATTACCTCACATTCAAAATGTATTTAAAAAACAAAAATGTAACCGTGTAGTCTTCATGTGAGCCAAATCCTACATTTCTAACTCAATTTACACTGAGTTAAAGGCAATGAAAAAAGCTTAATACGAAATGAATAAAAGCCTCAGAATAGAAGAGGAATTTTTTTGCTATCTACTTAAAAATGAAATTTCTAGGAACACGTTACGCTCCTGATCTAGTAACTGATTTATTGGGAGTTGTATATATGGAGAAAGTTTGTAGAGTCAGCCTAAAGTTGCACGTCGAAGGATTGTTTAAGAACTGTCATCTCTTTTTACTTCTTTGACATGATTTAAGAAGGCCCCCCAAAAGTTCCCCTCCCATGCTGTTTGTTTTCTACCTTACAAATATCAGGAACATTGTATCTGATTTTCCCTGGTTTTCATGGAACCTCTCTCAAAGAATGCATGCTGGAAGCTTTCACACCCTAACAAAGGAGGTGTGGCCTCTTCAACAAGGCTGCTCAGCCTCCAAAGTGCTAATTGGTCACTGAAAGTGTTAACAAAAACAAACAGTAACAGAAAAGATTTTAAACATGATGACTAAAAATATTCTTCCTCTTAATTACTCACTTCCACTCTCTCTCCCTTGTTGTGATGTCATCTTTTCACTAGTCTTCCAATCAGCATATCTTCCAAGGGAGAAAAAAAATCAGAATATTTAATGCAAAATACAAGCAGAATAATAATGCATTATTTTTATATTACATATCTGCAACACAGTAGAAAGAAGATAGAAGGAAACAGTTCCAATTTTCATTTCCTTTGCTGGTCACCTTTAGTGTCCCATCATTATTAATTTAGTCTTCCTGATAGCAGCTCTTTGTCTTTGATTACTTCATTTGGTGGAAATGGAGATTTCATATGATCATTTAAAAATAATTAGGATGGCTAGCACAGCCTGCTCACCACCGATCTCTCCTCAGCTTCTTTAATAAAATAATAATAAGCATGCTAAAATCACCCTGCAGTCTGTCTTTCTATCTTCCCATTCTAATGAAAAATAATCAAAACCTAAGGGCAAACCCTGAACCCAGCACCTAGACCATGTAGCAGACCTACAGATGAGGCCAGATGCCCTGGCCTCATTTCTGCCTCTGCTTTTTCATTCCCATCCCTGTGTACTGCCATGAAGAGAGTTCCCACACAGGGTCTAATGTATCTCCTTAAATCCTTCCCATATTTTCCCCTGTGATGTGAAGCTGCACTGAATACACTACCAGAGAATACTAGCATATAGTAGTAATCAAATGTTATCCTGACTCTTCATATCTAATGGATCCAGACCATGCCAGGACAAGAAATGTAAAACTTGCTGCCACATCTCCACCACTCTCACAATAACTACACCCCACAACAGAACCATCACCATTCCTTGATCTTATACCTCCAGAAATGTAACATATCTCATCCAGTGCACCGAATGTCCTGATGGAAAATACACAGGAGAAACCAAACAACAACTGCACATCGGAATGAGCACACACTGAAAACCTGTCAAAGACAAAAATACCCAATTACCTGTGGGTGCACATTTCTCACAAGACGACCACTCTCTCCAATCTCTCAGTCCTGATCCTCAAAGGGAATTTACAAAACACCTTTTGTAGACAAGCACATGAACTTCATTTTATAAATCTATTAGATACAAAAAGTTATGTACTAAATATAGACATTGGATTTATGGCACATTATAACCTGCCTGCATCCAATAACCCCAGGTAACCTGCCTGCATTTTACCAGCTACAGTCTATCACCAGGTCAACATTCTCCCCTCCCCTGCCACCTACCTGTCTCACACCTATTAACTCCCATTCCCTCTGCTGTCCCCTGCCATGCATTTGCATTTTCACAGACCTGCATTTTTCATTTTGGCTTAAGCTTCTAATCCACCCGGGAGAGCAGACAAACAGCAAACTCTCCCTATGCCCGAAGAAGGGTGTTTGTGCCCGAAAACTCACAAAGAACAATTTTTTCAACTATTTAGTTGGTCTAGAAAAAGACATCACATTTGCCCAAAGAACCTTGTCTGACTATATGCTTAGACCAACATGGCTATTACCAACACCCCTGCTCATATCTAACACATTCAGGAAGCTGAATGAAAATGCCAGGAATGCAGCATAGTAGTTCACTCTCACGTCTCACTTATAGTAGTTTCATAGTAGCTAGGGTCAGGAGGGACCTGAACAGATCATCTAGCCTGACCCCCT